GACGATCTCGCAATTTTCGCCTATTCATCTGCTGATTTGAAGGCTAAGTTAAAGGTTCTGGCTTTGTACTGTCCAAATAATGACTTGACAGTAAACAGTTTAAAAACTAAAATAGTTGCCTGTAGGAAGGGCGGTCCCTTGGACGTCTCTTCAAGAAACTTTTATTACGAGAATCAGCAGATCGAAGTGGTATCAACCTACCCTTATCTTGGTACGGTTGTGTCGTCGTCGGTGAAGGGTTTGAGGGCTGCGGAGGCTGCCATGGCTAGGACTCGCCAAGCCACTGCCTCTATTCTGTCCATAATGGCAACATCGAGATGCGACTCGTGTGAAGCAGCCTTGAAATTATACTCAGCCTCGGTAATTTCAACATTACTGTACGCAGCCCCCTGCTAGGCCCTCTCTCACCTTAGCCTATTGGAATCGGTTCAATTGGAGTTTTTTAAAAGGTGGCTTAAGTTGCCTAGGGCTACGCCTAATTATCTATTGCGCCTGGAGCTTGGCCTACATCCAATAGCAGCAGAGATAGTTCGTAGAGCGCTCCTTCTTGTTATAAGATTGTTGGCTCAACCGCTGACAAGTCTGCCACGAATGGGTCTGCTTAGGTTGATTGAGCTGAGTACCGATGATTCGACCGAGCCGTGCATGAACTGGTTTAGTCAGCTGAGGCTTGTGCTGGGTTCGGTGACCTCTGTAGACATATGGGCGGACATATCTCGTGACAACTGGTCCTCTAACCTTACTTTAGTGTGCGATGCATATGCGTTGTCGTTGCGTAGACAGGATTTAAAGCGCTACCTGGCGTCCGATTCGATTCAGATTCCCATTTATAGGCAACTGGATGATGGCCTGGGTACGCTGTGTCCAACCAGATGTCAGCTGGCGTATTTGCGCCTAAAAATTCAACTGCGTACTGCTACAATTCATTCACGGGTACTATACATTGACAAAACTTTTTATGGGTACAACCCCACGGAAATCTGTACGGGCTGCAATTTGTCCGAAAATGAAACGTTAACCCATATTCTTTGTGATTGTCCCCTAACGCGACCGGCAAGATCTGCCCTAAGAGAAAACCTGAATAGGAATATCAGTCCGGACCATATATTCACGCATTTGGTGACTGCGGCAGACCCGAATGCAATTAAAAGCTTATACTTATTTGTTAAACATTGCTTTGTCTGTAGGCGCGTTTTGCCTTGGAGTATTGAGCAGCATGTATGTATGCGGTCTACTTTTTGTATTTTGTTCCCTAGTGAATTTGCATAGCTCTAATGTAATCTCAAAAGTATGTATCTTTGTAAACTTTTTCTTTTTAAAATTTGTGTACTCTATCCAAAAGAATTTGTTTATATATATAATGACAGAAAAGAACTTCCCTTATTTTTGGACATATTTTCATGAAAATTCTGTTATTTATTGAATTTTCCTTCATTTTTTCACATCCGCCATTTTTTTATTCAAAAATTACAGATTTATTATCTTCGATGTGCAATGCATACGCAAACACATAATAACATTTTTGCGTAAATACTTGCACGATTTGTTACGAATTCATTCGTATTTTTTGTTCATTTTATTGGATCGGCCATTCCTAATTCGGACCGCAATCAAAATTTACGCACAACAGGCTTATAGCTCATTCAATTTCGAACAAATTAAAAAAAAAACTTTAAAATCGGTTAAGAATTAGAGCGTCGGTCGAATTTTGTCCACAAAAGGAGCCTTTCCGCCCACTGTGGGCCGGCACGACGCGAGACGCGCGCACCGCGAGCTGTGATTGGCGCGCGATAACTTATTCTCATTTCATAGGATTGTAGCCGCTGAAACGTTCAGAGCAGGCTAGTTTTCTCTAATAGGAGTACGCGTAGGATGGCAATAACATAACGATCATACCATACGGAAATTAACTCTTTACTCCACACGGAATTATTCGACTTAACAGTTCGTCACAACGGAATAACACAAGACACGCGCCCTTCGCGTGCTCTGATTGGCTCTCGCGTACGCGGGCCACGCGTCATCGGCACGACTGAATAGCGTGCCGCTGGGTAAGATTTCTGCTACGAATTTTGTGATTTTAATGAAAGATTAGGTAGATAACGCAAGAACGAAATTAATTTGACGCAAAATAAAAAGATTATATAATACAAAAATATTCGTGAAAATAACACAGAATTATGTTTCGAAGAAGGGCCGGACGTAACAATATATATATACAATTAATGTAAAAAATATTAATTTCCAATAAAAACGATTTAGTATATGTTTTTACCTAAATAGAATAAATATTAAATTGTAAACGCCATTATTTTTAAGTACGCAAATATTTGCGGTCATCTACATTCAATATTTTGGGATTTATCTTAATCGTGGAAATTAAAACTCAAATAACTGTTAAGTTTATATACTCAATTTTGAAGACACTCAAAGGTTTAGGGTTTACGCTTATTTATTGCGTGTCATACTCAAGTGTTGAGGGTAACCTTTAGATATTTAGTGTGTAAACTCAGTGTTTAAACTCAAACTTGAGTGTGAACGTTGTAAACGCTAAATCTTGGAGTGTATATAATCAATGTTTGAGTGTAAACACTCAAAATTTTTAAGTGTAAACACACAAATTTCAGAGTAAACTCCCAAAATTTGGGATTTACACTCAAATTTGAGTATAAACACTGAAATTTTCAGTTTTTTTCATAAGGGATTGTCCTTTATGACGTTTTACAAACTTATCCTTAAGACTTGCTTCAGACATTTATCTAAAAGATAAAAATAAGAATTGCTGTTACGGAAACGCGTTGACAAGAGGAATAGAAAACAAGAAGTATACGAAACAGAAGTTGGAATTACCTAATAAATCGGTGAATGATATCATATTTAATACATAATTATGACAGATAATAGATTGTTGTTATTGAAAATGTATATTGAGTATGATATCATTCATATACCGATTTATCAGGTAATTCGAATTACTGCTTCGTATTCTTCCTCTTGTCAACACGTTTCCGTATCTTCACGTAATCGTGTAGTTGTAGAATACTATAATATCCGTGCTAACAAATTTACGTCAAAATATCTTTCAGACATGTGTGTTCTCTGGGAAGAAGCCACTCACTCTTCATTAACAAATCCGTAATCGAAATACGGATAATAGGTGAAAAAAGACTCACTTTTATTAAGAGTCACTTTTATCAAAAGAGACACAGTACCCTTACGGAAAAAACTGACAATTTTAGTGTTTATACTCAAATTTGAGTGTAAACCCTAAATTTTGGGAGTTTACTCTGAAATTTGTGTGTTTACACTTAAATTTTGAGTGTTTACACTCAAACATTGAGTATATACACTTGTTTCTTAATGAAATTTATTGCGTGCTGCCAAGACCATTTTTTATTATACATTGACGACGACACACTCTCGCCTTGCGCCGCTTATATTCTTGCTTCCATCATTACCGATCATAGCTCATTATTATTACCGACCGCAGCTCATCATCGCGAACATCCCGGCCTCCTTGAAAGGATATCTTTCAACAAATATGTTCGCTTGCATATACCTTAGAATTAGCTAGGAAACTTAATCCTTCAGAACAAAATTGACAAGCGAACTGCCCTTATTAATAGATATTAATCAATATGTGTATCAATGCCTGCTCTTATCTATTAACTAAACAAATTAATAATTGAACTGCCCTTATCTATTAACTAAACAAATTAATAATTCATGCTAGTTAACGAATAATTATTACTTATAGAACATTAAGACTAGTAACTTAAGTAAATCAACTTAAATACACTGATAAGAGACTTAATAATAAATAGGGGAATACAGTCGGTGGCATTAATAGCCTTCGTTTCATTCACAATCCGGAAATCCCTCCATGGGTAAAAGAGCCAGCTTCTTTATGGAACGTTTGAAGCTCCCGTATTGAATCCTGACGATAACCACTCGTACTTCACCGTCCGCCCCGGGATGTAGCTCAATTATTCTTCCTCGAGCCCACTGGAGTGGGGGCAGATGATCCTCCCGTAGTAAAACCAGATCATTCAGCTGTATCCTTACTCCGGTTGTGGTCCATTTATTACGCTTTTGTAATTCCAGTAGGTATTCGGAATATCACCGTTTCCAAAAAAGCTGTCCTAGCTTTTGGATATATTGCCATCGTGAGAGACGATGGTCTGAAACCTCAAGAAAATCAGCTTGTACAGGTTGCAACAGTGAGTCGCCCACTAGGAAATGGGAAGGGGTAAGAGTCATAAGGTCTGAAGGATCACTGGATATAGGAGTTAGAGGCCTCGAGTTGAGAACTGCCTCTATTGTCGCAAGTAGTGTACTGTACTCTTCATACGTCAAAGTCTGTCCTTATGTCACAGTAAGAAGGTGCCGTTTGGACAATTTAACCGCCGCTTCCCACAAACCGCCAAAATGGGGCGAGCGAGAGGGGATAAACTTCCATTGAATCCGCTGTTCAGCTAAATTCGTCTCAATTTTAGTTCCTTGCTTCATCAAGAATTCATAAGGCTCCTTGAGCTCTCGTGCCGCTCCCACAAAATTTGTCCCGTTATCGGAGTGTATCTGCGCACAGAGACCTCTTCTTGCAGTAAAAAGTTGTAACGCGGTTAGGAAGGCTTCAGTAGTGAGATCCGTCACCATCTCCAGATGCACAGCTTTCGTGGCACACACACACACACACACACACAAAGCAAGTAAAAATAGCTACGTATCCCTTGCTTACATGAATTTTTCCTCAGCGCCTGCTTTCTCGCACCTGGAAAGGACCTGCATAGTCTACGCCTGTTATTGTAAAAGGACGTGAAAAACCTCTGATTCTCTCTGCTGGAATGTCTCCCATCCTCACTTCAGGAGTGGTAGGATTGAAGCGAAAGCACTTGAAGCATCGCTTTACAATTTTGCGAGCTTCTCTTTGGCCACTGATAGGCCAGAATCGCTGGCGTATGTCGTGTAATAGCTGCTCTGGCGGGCAATGAAGGAGTTGTTCATGTCGCTTCCTCATTATCAAGCGTTGTTACGTGATGCTTAGCTGGCATCACAATGGGGTGCTTCTTACATTGAGCGATTTCGGCATGTCTAAGTCTGCCTCCTACGCGAATCAAACCTTCTTCGTCTAAGAAGGGAGCCAACGGGATCAACTTACTTTTGCGGGGTAGCATCCCTTTGTTACGGAGACATCGTAGCTCTTCTGCGAAGACTTTACTTTGTACTAACCGGACAATAGTCTTCTCTGCATTTTCAAGTTCTTCCTTTTCTAGAAGACCTATTTTCTTTTTGTTTCTTCGGTTTCGTCGGTACCGATGACAATACGCTATTATTCTGCATAGTTTACTGTAAGATGAATATCTCATCAATATTTCCGATTCCGCTGTCATAGTTAAAGCCACAGATGTAGCCTTTAACTCCGGTAACTCTTCGTCCGGTTCAAGGCTCTCTGTTGGTTGCGGATTTGAGTTCCTTAACCAATGTGGACCATGCCACCAAAGGTCGCTTCCCTGTAAATTTTCTACTGTCACCCCTCTTGAAAGCAGGTCAGCGGGGTTTTCTTCAGATGTTACATGCCGCCATAAAGCTTCTTCTGTGAGATTTTGAATCCTTGTCACCCTGTTGGCGACAAACGTCTTGAGATCGCAAGGTTGCCTTTGAATCCATCCCAGGGTAATTGTACTATCGCTCCATAGTCGCACTTTACCTATCTTGCCTTGGCAAGCCGTCTTGACATTGCTGTATAGTTGAGAAAGAAGTAGCGCTGCTTCCAACTCCAGGCGTGGTAGAGATATAGTCTTAAGTGGTGCCACTTTGGACTTGGCACAGATTAAGTGCGACTGAATGTTACCTTGGTTATCCGTACTAACCGAGTATATACAAGCACCAAACGCGCGTTCCGAGACATCCCCGAAGCCGTATAAATCCACCTTACTCTCGCAGTTAATTGGATTAATATTCCTGGGTATTTTGAGCTTGTTAAGACTTAACAGGGATTCATAGTAATTTTTCCACGCAACCTTAAATTCGGGTGGGAGTTCCTGATCCCAATTGATTTCCTGTTTCCATATCTGTTGCATAATGAGCTTACCAGTGATAAGTATCGGTCCCACCAAACCGAGTGGATCGTAGATCTGCGCTATCTTGGAGAGCACATTTCTTTTCGTGCATGAGTCAATTTTAGATATGTCTGGCTTGTACTGCAACTCATCGGAAACCGCGTTCCAATGGAGTCCCAAAGTTTTGAGGGCTTCTTCTTTATCAATAATAAGCAGATCGTCTGATGGACTGTTTTCCTTTAAGTGCTGTACTGCTAGGATTGATCTCATTTGATCTCCATTTTCTTAGCGGAAATTGCCCGCGCATAAGCAATTCTGACATTTCTCTTTGTAACTCGATTACGTATTCCAATGTAGGACCTCCTGTCAGGAAGTCATCCATGTATGAATCTTCTAATACTGCTTTCGCTGCTCTCGGGAGCTCGTGACAGTAAATCTTGGCTAATTCCCTCAAGCGCCGCATGGCCAGAAACGGAGCACATGCTGTCCCATAGGTGACCGTATTCAACTGAAAATTCTGTATTTGCTGGTCTCGATCAGACCTCCATAGTATGAGTTGGAACCGGCTGTCTTGAGAATCAATTAAAATCTGACGAAACATCATTGTTATGTCCGCCGTTAAAACAAACTGGCGTACTCTGAATCTGATCACGATTCCTTGTAAATCCTGTTGAAGATTAGGACCTGGCATGAGTTTGTCATTTAGCGACGTATTGAGCGTAGTCTTGGCTGACGCATCAAAAACAACTCTTAATTTCGTTGTCATACTATCCGGACGTATTACTGGCTGATGAGGGATAAAATAGACGTCTAAGGGCTGAGATTCCCCGTAGTCTGCGAAATATGACATGTGACCCTTATTCAAATAGTCTTGCATAAATGAAGTGTAGTCGTTCTTTAGTTTCGTGTTTTTATCCAGTCTTCTTTCCAGCGACTTGAACCTTTCAAGTGTTTTCTGCTTAGACTCTCCCAACACGACATCTTGCCGCATGGGCAAACGTACGATGAATCGGCCGCTTTGATCTTGCTTGACTGTATTAGAAAAATACCTTTCGCAATCTATTTCTTCTTTAGATTGCAATTGTTTTTCAGGCACTGTTTCTTGTATCCAGAACCTTTCGAGTTGATCATGTAAATCCTTATTTGTAATTAAATTGCAAGAAGGCTTCGTATCTGAGACATTTTCGTTTATTTCTCCTCCGATTATCAATCCGAGTTGCGTGTTCTGCAACGAGGGCTGATTTTCGCGGTGATTCTTCGGTGCGCCTATTAGTATCTTCCAGTATACACCTGCTCCTATTAAAATTTCAATAGGGCCTGGAATGTTATACGCGGGGTCTGCTAACTGAGCATCTCTTGGAACTAGATTTTTGCTATATCTATCTTCGTTTGTGGCAACTGTTCTGTGATCCTTGGAAGTACCAGACATTCCATCTCGGTTGAGTAATTGTTGTATTTCGATTCAAGTTGTATGCGAGTTATCTTATTTGCACTCGTTTTTATCTGATTGATACCATTAATGTGCCGCTCATCTCTTGTACAAGGCAGCTTCAGTTTTTTGTGCAGACTTGTGGTGATTAGATTTAGTTGCGAACCTGGATCCAACAGTGCACGGCATGCTTGTTGATTACCGTCGGAGTCACGTACGTATACCTGTGCTATTGATAACATGACTCTCGCTGCTTTATTATGTGCGCAGTAAATATTCATCGCCACGGAATCTTCTTCTTTGATTGTCTTGTCATCTTCCGCCCGAACATGCGTTACGATTGAATTATTCTTTGAATTCCCTTGAGTTGTGGGCTCCTCCTTTTCTATATGGAGAAGCGTATTATGCTTCCTGTCACATTTCCTGCATGAAGAACCTCTACAGTCCCGTCCGAAATGCCCTGGTGCGAAACAATTAATACATAACCTCTTTTCGATTACACTTTTCGTCCCTTCAGGTGCCGAAAGCTTTAAAAGTTCTTCGCATTTATAGGTTGGATGATCGTCGTTACAATATCTGCAATTCACCCTTATAGTCGACAGAGTGACCCTTTTCTCTCCTTTCTCCTTCTTTGTTTCAATCTTCTGTTGCTGTTTTCCATTACTCACCTTTGTCTTTCCCTGCTCAAGTACCCTAATTATATGGCACCGATCATTGAGAAATTTGAGAAATTCTGTCAATGTCGGCATGTCTTCTGGTGTTTTATCCTTGACCGTATCTTGCCAATCACGTTGCTCAATGAAATCGAGTTTTTTCTTCGCTAAATGAATTATGATTGTTTCCCAGTAATTAACCGGCTGTGCAAGTACCTTGAGCGACGATACATGTGTCTGGATATACCAAATAAATTGTCGAATTGATTCTGCTTTGTTATCCTTTGTGATAACTGGAAACGTTAGTAGTTCATCTAATTGTGTCTGGATTATCATCATTTTGTTATCATATGTCTCCTTCAAGAGTGTCCATGCATTCTCATAATTTTCATTAGAGATTTTAAACCTTGTATTACACTACGAGCTTCTCCTTGAAGCACGCCTATTAAATATTGATGGTTTGCATCGGTGTAAGCCCTGCATCTTGATGGATGATCGTTTCGAAACTATCTTTGAAAAACATCCATTTCGTATATTCGCCACTGAATTCTGGTAACTTGATCACAGACAGTTTCGGCCTATGTCGCTCTTCCCTATGAGTTCCATTGTTGTTCCGTACAGGATTCTGCTGTAACTCTACCTGTGAATGTTGATGATTGTCAATAATACCTTGTGCCGTTGCTGCTGCTTTGTAGTATCTTTCTTCAAATTGTTTTCTTTCCATTTCGCTTTCTGCATCTTCTCCTTCCTCGTCTTCAATTTCCTTTATCTCATCAATTTCGTTTTGCATGATTTCGAATCGAGAAAAGGCTTCTTCCAACCTTTTTAATCTAACCTGTGCTTCTGATACGGAGACTGTGTCATTTTCGTCAAAAAAGTGCTGTATTCGCGTGATTTGCCTCTTTATTCGGGCTCGTTTTTGCTTTAATTGAGCTAGTTGCCTAGTCATTGTGACAATGCTAAAAGGAATGAAAGGAAGTTAAACGACTCACTAACCTGACTTTTCTCGAATGTTCCATGCTGAATATATTTCTCGAGTATTGCCGTCCGTTGCGTGTGCGTACTGGATCCGCACTTTTTCGTATTTGCTGTTCCTCGCTCTTTTTAGAATTCGAGCCTCACGTTGTTGGTCAATGTTTCTTAATGAAATTTATTGCGTGCTGCCAAGACCATTTTTTATTATACATTGACGACGACGCACTCTCGCCTTGCGCCGCCTATATTCTTGCTTCCATCATAAGGCGTCGTCTACAATACACGGAGTAAGAAGTAAGAGTAAGAAATTGACCAATCACAGTCGAATGTGAGAAGAATAATCAACTGTGATTGGTCAATTTCTTACTCTTACTTCTTACTCCGTGTATTGTAGACGGGCCTTTACCGATCATAGCTCATTATTATTACCGACCGCAGCTCATCATCGCGAACAACACTCAAAGATTGAACGTTCACAACGTTCATACTCAAGTTTGAGTTTACACACTAAACATATAAAGGTTACCCTCAACACTTGGTTATGACACGCAATAAATGAGCGTAAACCCTAAACCTTTGAGTGTCTTAAAAATTGAGTATATAAACTTAACAGTTATTTGAGTTTTAATTTCCATGATTAAGATAAATGCCAAAATATTGAATGTAGATGCCCGCAAATATTTGAGTACTTAAAAATAATGGCTTTTACAATTTAAAATTTGTTCTGAAATTTTAATTTGTTTTAAAATTTTTATTTGTTTTTATTTGTTTTGAAATTTTTATATTTATTTCTATTCCAATAATAATATTTCCTCCATTGTACGTAGGGTCTAAGGGTGAAATCACACGGTGCGGAAAAGAAAATATGTCACAAAAGCAACCAATCAGCTTTATTCTGCGTTATTCCGAATAGCGCTAATTGTTTGTTTCAATGGGCGCATTCTGCGGACTCAACAGTTGAGTGCGAGTGCCATGCTCGCTGTTATTAGTGTATTCTTTTAGCTCATCCAGTCAGAATTTTAGATCTAGAAGAATATACCAATAACAGCGAGTGCTCACTCAACTGTTAAGTCCGCTGAATGACGCATTCTTTGTTCCGCAATCATTTTCCGCACCGTGTGATTTCACCCTGACACTAAAGTTAGCTATCAAGTTGAGATTAACACTCAACATTCTAGTCATCAATAACACTCAAGTTGAGAGTTATACTCAGGTTGAGCGTCCAAAATAATCGTTAATTGAGTGTTACCTTGAGTGTATTTTTTCAGTATTTATTAAAGTGTAAACACTCAAATTTTAAGAGTTTTTTCCTAAGGGATGGCATTCGCACTCAACTGTTGAGTCCGCTGAATGCGCCCATTGAAACAACCAATTAGCGCTATTCGGAATAACGCAGAATAAAGCTGATTGGTTGCTTTTGTGACATTTTCTTTTGCGCACCGTGTGATTTCATCCTTAGACCCTACGTACAATGGAGGAAGTATTATTATAGGAATAAAAATAAATAATAAAATTTCAATTTATCAGAAACCATGTATTCTGGTATCTGGTATCTGATAAGCTGAAATCTTAATATTGAGTCTTATTCCTAATATTTCATGTATTGTGTGCAGGCCTTTACTCTTAAGTCATATATATAAAACCAATATGCCTGCGATACTAAAAATTTATTCAAGGATTTGTTCGCTATCTAATTCGGGGAATTCTTCGATATTGAAAGTGGGGTCTGACTTTCGGCGCCGTTTCTTTTGAATAACTAAAATTGAGCATTTTTTTTTTAGAAGGATTACTAGAAAAGATTTCTAGAAAGGGCGTCTGCATTATTATTGCAAGTGCCTTTTTTATATATTATTTTATAGCTATATTCCTCGAGTTTTAAACGCCATCTCATAAGTCGCGACGTTGGGTCTTTAACGTGATGTAACCAAGTTAAAGGCTGATGATCAGTGACTAACGTGAAATTGTACTCATATAGGTACGGTCGAAAGTGATTCGTGCAATACACGATAACTAAAAGCTCTTTTTCTATCGTTGAATAAATTGTTTCTGCTGGATTTAGTACTCGTGACGCGTAACTTATAGGGAGGTCCTGGCCTACGTTCCCCTGGCTCAGTACTCCTCCTATGGCATAGTCGGAAGCGTCAATGGTAAGTATAAATTCTTTATTGAAATTTGGATATTTTAGTATAGGCTTTTTACAAAGTAAGTCGCGTAATGTATCGAAAGCTAGTTGTGTTTCTTGATTCCATTTAAATTTTACGTTCTTTTTTAGCAGGTTTGATAGTGGTCGAGCTATCTGAGAAAAATTCGAGATAAAGCGTCGGTAATATCCGGCGAGTCCTAGGAATTGGCGCACGTTTTTCAGTGTTTTAGGTGTCGGGAAGTTTTTTACTGTCGAGATTTTTTGTGGATCCGGGTGAACACCGTTTTCGCCGATTATGTTCAAGGTAAACGACCTCGTGACGAAGAAACTCGCACTTATCCGGTTGAAATTTTAAATTACTTGTTCTTAACCATTGCATTAATTTATTTATTTTTATTTCGTGTCCTCTTAACAAGCTCGCGTATATGACGATATCGTCCATATAAACAAACATTTCTGTGCCCTGTAAGCCCGTTAATGCCTGGTTCATCATTCTTTGAAATGTTGCCGGTGCATTTTTCAGACCGAATGGCATGCGTGAAAATTGGTAGTGTCCATGCTGTGTAGAAAAAACCGTTTTTTGTGCGTCTGCGGGATCCATGGGGATTTGATGGAATCCGCTTGCTAAGTCAAACACGGAAAAATATTTGGCGCCCCCGAGTTGGTCGAGAATGTCACAAATATTAGGCAGAGGGTACGCGTCTCCTATGGTTTTTTCGTTTAACTTCCGATAGTCAACAACCATGCGCCACCTTTTATTGCCTGATGAGTCAGGTTTTTTTTGGTACAATCCATATTGGCGAATTATAAGACGAATCAGAAGAAATTACTATTTCTTTAGATAGTAAATCTTGTACTTGACGCGTTATTTCATGGCGATGAACGTGTGGAAAACGATAATGTTTGAAGTGAACTGGCAGATTATCGGTAGTATTGATTTTATGAGTTTGTACGTGAGTTTTGCTGAGATGTTCATTAGATAGGTAGAATCTATCGCTATGTGTAAAGTTATTAAATTGATTACATGTTCCTTTTCGAATTTAGCTAAATGATCTAATCGCAGTAGTTGCAGTATGTCGGACACTCTATCGTGTGTTTTTAAATTGTTATCGCTGATTTCATTATAATTTTCGCTCGTTTTATTGTTGTAATTATAATTTGATTTATTTTTGTTCTTAAGAGTTAGAGTAACGCTTTGATTTACAATATTAATGTTAAATGGAAAATTTTTATTATTTTGAAGCGAACGGATCGCAGAATTTTTTTCAATTAAGCTTCGCGTGAGAGGAGCGTGTCCCTTAGAGGTCTCAGGAGGGAATGGTTCGTCCAGCGTGAAGTGAGAATTGGCGACGTCTGGAGAACAGGAGGATCCCTCATGATTACTCATTACGATAGTGTTGCCGGCAGCGGGAGCCTTCGATCTGGTTCCCCCGTTAACGACAATTAAGACGATTTATTTTTGCGCCGGGTTCGCTCGGACGCTTCGACCCGTCACTCTCCAGATTCGTACTGACTTCGTGTCGCGCGAACTCGAACGGCTCGCGGCTTTGATTTCGGAAGCGATAACGCGATTCGCCGACAACATCGGCCCAGCAACGAGCGACGAATCAGGGGGCAACACACTAAGTACGACGAGGGCCTTTTTTCTGTGTCGAAAGACTCCCGTCGTCATCGGCACACAAACACGCGCTCTCGACGTCGACATTGCTCGAAAGTCGAATCAACAAAGATTCGAAGCGAAGAAGTTTCTCGAGCGATCTCGACGGCCGCACGAATTAACGCTCCAATCCTGAACAGATAGTCTTAATTGTTTTAGAAATAGTAGTTGAATCCTTTAATCAATTCGTAATGACATTAATTTCATAAGTAGCGATAATATTATCATTAGGAAGTCATCGGTATGTACCGTTATGACTTAAATGTTCATTAGTAATGTTGCAAAGCGTTTGTGTATTAATTTGGTTAATGAGCGAATTATCGATTTCTTCTATTTTGCTAATTACTTTTGAGTCATTATTCTTTTTCGATTTTAGCATTTCGCAACTTTCGGCTCAGCTTATATTAGGATAATTGGAAATGTTATCTTTAATATAGGTTGTGCTCTTATATGAAGGTGCATTCTCGAAAGGAACATTTTTATAAGGAGGATTTTGAAAGGTTTTATTTTTCTTTCTAATAATCGTGATGGGATTGAGTGAGTTAGCTGGAGTTTTTTCTTTTG